GGAATATAGAACTTTGCACCATGATCTTTTTTTTCAGTCTTGTTCATTCATTTAAGTACAAAATTCAAGTGAAATTTTGAATGTTAAGAGAAATGCGGGGGGAGGAAAAAATACGCGATGATACTCGCTTTACGGCCTTCTTAAAATCACTACAAACTGACGCTCAGAAAATAGCTTTGATCTCCTAAGTCCAGCACTAAGAACCTAAAGTTTCTATTCCAATCTACTAATCTAAGGATGTATAAAAAGGATTGATAAAAACATTTTGCGGTTTTTATTTAGATTCCGCACAACAACCTCGAACTTTCTGTCTTTTGTTAGCAAATTACATTTAGTTAGGCGGTAAATATAAACTGTAATGAAAGACCGTTATTTGCTTCAATTTTTATTGCATTCGGATTTAAAGCAGTAATTTTTTCTTATTTTCGAATTTAAAGTCCAAGAAATTTACTACTAAATGGTGCCGGACGGCTTAATTGCTAGCTGAAGTGTTTTATTGTTTGTGCAAAATACTTGACTGTTTATTATGCAAGCTTAATATTTTACCAAAATAGAATTTCAAAACAGCAAATCCGTTTTTTTTACTCAGTTCGAGTTCGGATAAAATCTTGTTAGAAGTATATACAAATTTATTATATACACAAGGTCTGGATATGAGGTATTCTGCAATCTGATTGGTTCTCTACTAGCAGGATATTAGCTCATATCTTGCTAGTAGAGAAAAACAAAATGGCGGCTCAAACTGAATTTCCGACATTTTGCGAACGAGAAAAGTTGTTCGCTTTTCCAGGGGCGGATCTAGGAATTTTCGTACGTTAGTCAAATTTTTTCCGAGTTGCTGCCATCCGGGGGGGGGGGGGGGCGGGGGTTTTAATTTATGTCTGTGGGGGTTGTAGCATTATAAGTTTTTCGTTGTTCGCCCGACAGCCGACGCGATTGTATTGTCACGATATTGTAGTGTCGTGCGATTGTCTGGAATTTTGTTTTACACATCGGCATGTTCTTTTAATAAATAAATTTTTGACCCTCCTGTCAACAAAACGTCATATTATATAACAAACGAATTGTCGGAAACTGTTATTAGTCAATATATTTACTATAAAATAATGTTTTGTTCACACGTGGGACGCGCGAGTCAGAACAGTAATGAATCGGAAAGTTACAGAATACACTGCATGGTTGTTGCTATTGTATAGTGATTAGTGGGAGGTTTTTTAGTGAGAGATTTTGCGAAATTAGGATAGTTCGTAGCGTCGAATAAAAGCTAAAAGAAACTATATTGTGTTGAGGATTATCTCGGGGGCAATTCTCAACAAGATTTCACACGAACAATCACAAAATCCGCTTACTTCTAGATATCGTATTACAATACAGCATAACACCGACCATGCAATTTCAAAATCTCCAGATTCTGTCACTACTAATACATCAATTAATATTGCCCGATACAAATATAAACGAACACAAAAGCGGTTTATACTTTATAGCTTTAGCTATGGTTATATACAGTTAATTTAAGCAGCCAAACCGCTCTTATATCTTATTACCGCCGTCAATAAGCATACTTTAAGCAGGTTTTAAAAGCTTACTTAGTACCAGACTATGAACTAAAATATAAATATAATCTCCTAACCTTATCGCCGTACATTTCTATTGTGGTGGACGAGACCGAATTGAAATCTCTGGCGAGACTGGTTCTGGTGATATAGTTGTGGATAGACTTGGTATGAATAGCGGCTAAAAGCTCTTCGATATATCGATCTTGTAGTATTGATATGCTTTAAAAGATCTGTGTTCATCATTTCTAGACTGGACAGTCTGGTATAAACTTTATATTGCGGGAACCACTGAGTATTATTACACATACATTTTATATTGTCGTCGTACTCGTACGTGACTTTAATCTTCGCGGTGAATAAATTTTCCAAATGAGTCAGATGAGGCAAAAAGTATGAGCCAATGAGAGAAGAGAATTTGGTCTTTTTCGACCAATCAGAACTTCAAATATTGCGCAAATAAGGCAGACCCCCACGAAGATGAGGCAAAAAAGTTGAACCAATGAGAGAGGAGAATTCTCCTTCAATCAGCCAATCAGATACCTCATAGATGACGTAAATAAGGCAGACCCCCACGAAGATGAGGCAAAACCATTCTCGACCAATCAAATGGCCAGAATCTGCCTCAAGTAAGTCAAGGCCACTGAGCTTACAACCGCTGAATGAAACTTGATAACTGGACTATTGTGAATATTAATTACACTTGCTATCACTGAAGGAAGGATTACAACTGGAGTACTGGACACTTTTATGAATCAGTAATTATCTGCGCAATTTTTACGTTAGTCGCGTGACTTATTTGACAACCCCTAGATCCGCCCCTGCGCTTTTTATAGCCTTTACAGGATTAAAAACACAGCGAAAAAACTCCCACAAATTGTTTGAAGGTTAGCAAATGAATTTTTAAAATTTAGAATGGTTAAAAATATATGTTTTGGGAAAAAATATTTGGCCGAAAGAGTTTTTTATAAAAACATAAAAATTAATAGAAAACTATTGAAAATATCCGAAAAGCAAAGTCTGTGAATTCAGACCTTGCATGTGTTATTTAGTGTATATAATAAAACTCACTCTTGTCGAATATACGAGCGATAGCCGGCTATCAGCTCATATTCGACTTGAGTTCGTTGAATAACTGTTAAATATCCGATATTCTTACATCACTTAATTGATTTAACGTAGGAAAATTAACCAAAACACATGTGCATATACCACGACGAAATCGACCGATCTTACTGAACGTGGCTTGATATTTTAAGGCTTAATTAAGGCAGCAAGTGATATTATAATTTTTAAAACATTTTGCACTTTTATTTTAATATATTCTACATAGCAACCTCGAACTTGCTTTTTGTTAATTTATAAAGCCTGACATGACACATTAAGACATAAAAATAATTAGAACTATAATCTAGTATTTACCTGAATTGACGGGCGACTTCTAGAATGTCATTATTAATTATTCTTTCGGAATTTTTTTAGCGTATAAGACCTATTGCCCCTATGGCCATGATGAAAAATCAAGGGTGGGTAGTAAAGAAGTAATTGTAGTTCACTACTGTAGCGAACTACAAATTTCAAATAGCCAGTAGTTTTTGACTATACTTTCTGTAAAGATTGTAGCTCTCGAAACGCCACATTCCGCAAAAAGCTCTGAAAACTCTAAAAAGCATATGCCATGCCTTCTGATTGAATCTTAAATTTAGACTTTTAAGTCATTAATGTGTTGTTAACTAATTAATTCGTCACGTGCTTAAAAGAACGTAAAGATCTATGTCGATTTCATCGGTAAAATAGGCCTACAAAGCTTGCACAATAAACAGTCAAGTACTTTGCACAAACAATAAAATTTACAGTTCAGCTAGCAAAGCCGTCCGGCACCATTTAGTAGTAAATTTCTTGAACTTTAAATTCGAAAATAAGAAAAATTTAATGCTTTAAATCCGAATGCAATAAAAACCAGACACAATACTAAAATGCGGTGCCCGCTGGCCCCGCTTACAAATAAAACTTTCGGCGTTTCCGCCTACTTGCACAAGTCAAGTAAAGTTAATTATAATTCTCCTGTCGGCCGTCAGTTGGCCGTACGTTAGGATCAAAACTGCGTTTTAAAGCCTTCGTCTTCGAAATAAAATTTTTTGGCTCAAAATACTATCAAATTGAGGAGAAAAGTGAGACGAATCCGCTGGCATACGGCCGAAAACAAGAAAACCAACAATTCCGAAATAATCAAGGATCAAACGGACTGCACTTTTAATTATAGATTATAGTTTAATAATTTTGAGCGATTTGTCAACAATAGAATTTCGCTTATTAAAACTGCACATTAAAACCTTCAAAATATAATATTTTGGGCTTAAACTACTAACAAAATAAAGAGAAAAGTGAGACTAGCCACTGGTATACGGCCGAAAAAGATAAAACCTGCAACAATACGAAGTTATCAGGGTCTTATTTACCCTGGTTGCCAGAGGTTCTGTATCTTTCGCCTTATTCCCGCTCGTATATTTATTTTACGCGAGGCGAAGAGAACCTCTGGTGGCACGCGATACAAATCTCACTTCCATGCTGACGTTGCCGTTGAGAACTTGCAAAACCGGTTTTATATTTTGTGACGTTTTTAAACTTCCGGGTTTGTCATACTACCAAAATAGCTCTCTTCAGACTGTTTGGCAGCCTTGTGTAAAGTATTAAAAATAAGCAGCCCAAACATGTAGGTTATTCATTAGAAACATGTAGATTATTCTCGCAACGCACAAAGCCACCTTATATACTGATTGTTAAATTTGTGGAATGCCGTTTGTAATAGCGAACGTTAGGAACGTCTAAAGTCAAAAGTGAAAGAATATGAATATATAAATATTTATATAATATGTGTGCAACGGAGCCAGTATGTACGTTGTCCTTAACAGCCAACGGGAAAATATTGGCAAAATAAATCATATTAATAACTATTAAAGTCAAAGAATTACCAAAATTTAAAACCTTGAACGATATAAAGCAAGTGACCAACACTATATACTGTATTTTACAAATATTAATACTGTAACTGAACATCTCATGCCGTCAACTCAAGTCATGCTGCGATGGCAGGTCTTCTCCAGCGCAGAAAATCGTTTTATAGCGAAACAAACTAAGTTAATCTCAAATATATAAACCCACACCAAGTAAAGCATTTTAATACGTTCGTATTATTTCTGCATTTTGTTTACATCATGTTCTCTGAGATTTATAAACAGGTTTTTTTGTCTAGCCAATCGCATCACTTCATGTGACTGCTAATTATAACTAACCAATCATGTGCTTGGTACAAATTTTGTACCAAAGGAAGAGAGATTTGTATCGCGTGCCACCAGAGGTTCTCTTCGCCTCGCGTAAAATAAATATACGAGCGGGAATAAGGCGAAAGATACAGAACCTCTGGCAACCAGGGTAGGTCTTATTCCAGAGGAGGAGTGGTCACTATACCACAATGCATCGCTTCTCATTAATATTCGGAATTATATTTTGCGAGTCTTTGAAAGATGTTTGTCGAAAAATTGTGGTTGTTTATCGCGATTTTTTACGCTGAAAATTTTGATTTTTGGAAGGTACGTTTTCATAATTGTTTTATTTGTGACCTTAATTGTACGATTTTTGTTTTATGTGGTTGTCGTATCATGTTTCAGTTATGTTAATCACGCATTGAATTACCCTTGGTTTCGGGTCAGTGCACATGTCACAAAAGTGGCTTTGATATTCGCCGGGGATTAAATGCTTTTTAAATCAGGAAATTCAACAACATTTACAGCATCGAATGCAGGAAGGGTTATTCTTTCTATTGATACTTCAAAACACAAAAAATCCCCTCGAACTGACGAGTTATCGCGGTTTGAAAATGGGGTATATTTCGGTGCTATAAAAGAAATGGCATTGATATACGCCAGGGGTTAAATAGTTTATAAATCGGGAAATTCAGCAAAATTCACATCATTGAATTCGGAAAGGTCAAGGTTTTAGCTGATACTTTAAAACATTAACAATCTCCTCCAACCGACGAGTTATCGCGGTTTGAAAATGGGGTATATTTCGGGTATAGTGCACACGACACGAAAACGGCTTTGATATATTCAGGGGGCTAAATGGTTTATAAATCAGTAAATTCAATAAAATTCACATCATTGTATTCAGTAAGGATTACTCTTTCTCTTGGTACTTTAAAACATAAAAAGGCCCCTGAAACCGACGAGTAATCGTTGTTTGAAAATGGGGTATTTTGCTTTTGTTGTCGCCAATCGCGGGAAAAGAGGACTCTACAGGAAATATGGCGCGAGCGCGACGTAAACAAGCCAGCTTTTCTAACATATTGTTCCTGATTGTATCATTTTTTTATAGAATTCGAGTTTATTAATTGGAGCAAAAAATGGAATCTATTAATGATGGCGATGTTGTCATTGTTGATCATGATTTAGAAAATGAGGAAACTCAAATTACTGATACGCCAGAAAAACCAACAAGAAAAAGCCATGTGGTTTCTAGTAGGCTCCTAGCCCATTTCTTATATATATCTATTCCTTGTAAATGTAATATTTTGGGCGAAAAATATTAAAAAAAAACAAAAAAACCCAAAAAACCCTGAAGACTATATCTCGTGTGGAAAGTTCATTCAGTCCAGCTTTGGTTCATATAATGGGCCATTCCATTTAATATAGGCACCCCCCCCCCCTGTTGAGGGGTCCCTTCAACCTATTGAGGGGTCCCTTTATAGAACCCCCTTGGATGTGATTTTTGGAAGTTACCCCATGGATATCTTCATATACCCCCTTTAGGATATCGTTTTTGGGTATCACTAAAACACCTAATTTTTGCTATTTTTTTGAAAATTTCTTAACCCTCTAGGAAAATTTAAGGTAAAAACCCCCTCCCCCCCCATAGGATATCCAGACCCCTCAACAGGGAGGGGGAGGCAGCTTATATTAAATTGAATGGCCCATTCAAAGTCCTGGCACATCAGCGAAGGTATAATAAAAACAATTATGGTAGACGAAATTGTACTTAAAACTTTGTTATTCTTTGTATTCTATTCTTTAAAATATTGTCTTTGTATACAGGGATGGATCCAGCATGATCTGGTAGGAGGGGGGGGGGGTGCTCTGGTGCCGACTACCAAGTTGTGTTGGTCATGTGTGCCGCCCGCCCATGAACTACTGTATTTGAATTGTAATTGTTGTTCACAGTTCACTAGGGCTAGGGGGGGGGGGCACCCCCCAGTAAATCCATCCCTGTTTGTATATTCAGTGTAACACCTCTGTGTAACATTATTCTGCAGTGTATAAACATTATTCATGTATGATTATTCATATGTCATCTGTGACTCAATTTCCATTTTAGTAAATGACATACTTTTTTGTAGTTTCCTAGCAGAAAGATAAGGCTGACTCCTTCACAGAAGTCACCAGTGAAAAAACATAACTGGACCTTTGAGGAAAATAAAGCTTTGATCTAGTTATGGAAAAATTTTGTCCATAATAAAATATAATAACAACAATTTACAATATCCTAGTAATCTATGTCACTGTTATAATCGTAGGGATCCATAATAAAATATGTAGGGATCCATAATAAAATAAAATCAAATCAATTTACAATATACTTCTTGTGTGTGTTGGTGTTATGTACTCAGGTGAATATGATGTTTGTGATGTTTCTTGGGTCATCTCTGTCCCATGGTCCACTTTTCACAATCAACAATGCTGTACTGTGGAGTAATATCCACCAAGCACACAGAATTTATTGGTTGTAGATCACAGTTACATCCAGTTTGCCCTTGTAAATTTATTGGTTGTAGATCACAGTTACATCCAGTTTGCCCTTGTAAATTTATTGGTTGTAGATCACAGTTACATCCAGTATGCCCTTGTAAATTTATTGGTTGTAGATCACAGTTACATCCAGTTTGCCCTTGTAAATTTATTGGTTGTAGATCACAGTTACATCCAGTTTGCCCTTGTAAATTTATTGGTTGTAGATCACAGTTACATCCAGTTTGTCCTTGTAAATTTATTGGTGACAGCACACTGTCCAACTCTTCATTAACAGTATCTGGATCTCGAGGTTGAATTGTTTGAGAAGGTGGGGATGGCAGAATATTGAAATCCCACAAAATAACATTCTCAAAGATAAAAGATTGTCCTGTTCCATCTTGCCCGAGATCACTGAGGTCAGAGAACTGCAACATATGAAAACAATATTCAGTTTAACAAAGTACAATATTAAAGTAGGGCACATGCGGGGACAGTGTGACTCAATGGGTTAACTAGACACATGGGCAGATAGGCCAGCTGCCATTAGACAGAG